CGAATACATTTGATATAAACCTGAATTTTTTCAAACTCATATAAGCCTCTTAAACATATTTGTATTATTCAATCTATGGGACCGGCTTTCCATTGTTAAGCATTTTTTTTTTTTCAATTAACAATCTGAAGTTTTTGTTGTTGTGTATTTAAAATTATTATATAACTATCGGCCACACAGCAGCTTACTGAACAGTAGTAAATTTTCAATTTAAAGATTATTTAAAATAAAAAAAAAAAAATAAAAAAAAAATAAAAAAAATGTACATGATTTTTAAGACCATTTACACACATCTCGTACAATGATTAAAATCGCAATAAAATCCAAAAAAAAGAAAAAAAACAAGGAGAAGAAGAAGAAGAAGACGAGTGAAGAAAGATTAAAAAAGATTATCGATTATACGGCACACTACACAGTATGCCGTTGAAGTTTTTCAAGTTATGCTTCCAAGTGCACTTTAGAAAGCGTAAAGTAATATAACAACAACAACATCAACAATTGAAGAAGTAATGAAAACTAAAGAAGAGATACGAGTACACGATAAAGCTGTACTTATGCATATCACTCAACGCTCCCAGCAGCCTTCCTCGCAAGATAGAAGAAACCTTTCTAACCTTTCAACGATTTTTCTAAGTTTACGAGTGCGATATGTTGTAATAATAGTTGCGTTAAAAGCAGCATCTTTCCCTTTAAACATGTCTATGCTATACAAACACTTTATCTTGGAAAAGTGCACTTGTTGTTCATTGTTATTTCGTATTGTTGTTCTTGGTATTGTTGTTCGTTCATTGCATAGAATACGCCTGAAATGTAAGAGACCCTGAACGCGTGTTTTTTTTTTTTGTTTTTTATGCCCATCAAATTTCTCATTGCTTGGTCGTTGATGTTGCTTTTGCTTCTTGGTTTTGCTTTTTTGCTTTTTTTTTGTTTTTCTAAATCTCTTTATAAATAAACATTTAACGAAAAACCAAATATTGCTTTTCTACTTATATCATGAAATATTCATATACATACATTGTATCATACATATATAAAGAAAATGGCAAAATAGCACGCACGCACTCATGATCATAAACTGGCCTTATGAAACTTCACGTACGGCCTTCTAAGATGCCTTAGACAAAACATACAAGATTGTTTAGTGCATTTGCATTACTTCACCTTGTCATAATTTTGCGAATATTATGAGTGTTTAGTGTTTCTATTATGACTAGACAGAGCAGAGTATATTATCTCTCTACTTACTATTGTTATTGGAACCACAAAACACATAAAATACAGCATCCAACTGGGTATGGTTGACTCATGATACGGATGCATTAACGAATCGTCATTACAGAAGAATCCACGCTTATAAGAATCGCCCCATAAATTAAAGCCCATTATAGGAAGACCAACTGGAAAATAAAATGAATAAATAAAAAAAAAATAAAAAATAAAATAATCATAATTAAAAAATAAATAAATAAACAACTAAATAATAATGATGATAATCATGATAATAACACATTGGGATGCACATAGTTTGCGACCAGAGCGCCCAAACTCAGACACGACGTTGTAACAAAAATAACTGAAAACACTATAGTACGACGCGATCTAGCATGAAATACTCTACACCACCCCACAGTTACCCAACTCTTCAAAATAAGTTGTTATACGAGAAGCAGATGAAAAAGTGATCCGACCTGAACCACAGCAGCGTTCGCGCTTACGCCAAAAACTTCTCGGTATACCAAATTTCATCAATATATCTCAAAAAATGCGACCTTTAAGTTATACACAAAAGAAAACCAGACGGACGGACGGACAGAGCAAGCTCACACTCAATTTCTGATTAGATCGGCATAAAAAAAGGTAGATTCATCGCAAGGTCCCTCTGGACTGTGGCATACGTCCGCATATACGTAGTATACCTTTATGCCTCAATTGGTGTAGGGTGCAAAAATCGTCCAGCTTTTCTACAAAAAGTCAAAATAGACATCCCAGATTACAATTAAAATCTGGCAAATGCGATAGAAGATAAAATCTTTGCAACATGCGTAGTTAGAACCACCTTCCCTGAAGAATTAATAAACCATAACAAACCAGATAGTGGTGTATCTGTGCCATACGATGCTATAGTCGGGCAAGGCCAACCATTGAATACCTTACACCACATTGTCTAACACAATTCTTATTTTTGAATGAAATTACTATTACCGCATCAAAATTTACGAAAATCCTTATGGTCCGAATTTGGTACAATTAATTTTTTTTACTGTTATGATATAATTTCCATCATGAAGCATTGAAAATTATAATATATTTTGTCGTATGAACTTCAGTTTTCGTTATATGAGAGGGGGCTCAAAAATTGCCCCAGCCGGCACAAAGTTTTCTTACGAGTTTGGAATGCCGAAATACTAGTGCTTAGCCGCATTTGCCGAGAAATTTAAAAAAATTTTTTTTTCCATGTAACGACTTTTCAGAATAGAGCATTTTAAAGGGAGTGGTCGAAAAAGTGTATTACTTTTAATAGCCCTCGTCCTTGGATCAAAACACGACAATATACCAAATTTAATTACAATATCACAAAAATTGTGGACCAGACACGCCAGAACAATCAAGAAGATGTACAGCCAGAGAGAATGGCGCTCACCTAACGACCTACAGAAAAAGAGAAAGGCAAACTTATGGATGGTTATAGAAACCTACGAAAGAATTGAACTGAGGGAACAGATTAACGGATAAATAAAAAGACAAATGCAATGTAGGCATCTTAAAAAGCAGTCGTGAAAAGAGTCGTCAAGAGAGGGCGAAAACGGCATATTGATGGATAAACAGACCAAGAGCGATACAAAGTTACTGGCAAGCTTTAATAAAAAACCTTCGCATAAAGATAAGAATGGACAGATAAGTGGACGGACGGACAGACAGGCAAAAAAATTGACGAACAGATGAACGCACGGATGAGAAGAAGTACATAAAGTGACCAAGTTAACAGACTAAGAAACATATAAAGCGAAGCCACGAACATACAAACCATGGGCCAACAGATAAACGCGTGATTTAAAACGAGGACATAAAAGTAATCATGTTAGCAGATCGATAATAATAAAGAGAGGACACGAACATACCAAAGATGGACAAACGGACAGACGGACGTACTAACATGCAAGATTCATTAAATCGTTTTGATTATGCTAATCAAAAGCATATGTACGTAGTTGATGAGACCTGCAACGCGTGTTTATGCATGTATGCGTTACTAATTTTTTAATAGCCCCTGTCGTGAGGATAAAAGATTTTTTTTTTTTGTTTTTTGCTTTTTTTTGTGATTGTGATGAAAATTTTCGATAAATATATTCCATAAAAATTGAATGAAAAACAACGCAAACATAACGAATGCATTCATAATTTATAACGTGTTCCAAAAATAAGAGAAGAAAAAAAAAACAACATAAGCCACGGACAGAGGAAGCCCATGCTGTTATTAATTAAAAATGCAAACATATGCAACATAATTCAGGGAAACTAAAATTTATTTAGTCTGCTCGTATACATATACAAATGCAAATATTGTTATAATATACGAATAAGTAAATGTGTAAAAACAAATCACTAACAAACCTTTATGCAGTGATGCATAATGTGGAATCATTTGTAAAATTCATTTACCGTACATTTTATCAAAAACAAAAAAACAACAAAAAAAGAACAAAAAAAAAAAGCAGAAATAATAATAATAATGAAAATGTTTTTTTTTTTTTTTTTTTTTTTTTTTTTTTTTTTTTTTAATAATTTATGCGAAAATAAAAATTTATATGATACGTGCGTATGTCAGTCGTTGACTGAAGGGGATAACATTTTCATTTGGATTATTTTTCTAAATTGATGGAATTTGTTTTGTTTGTTTATATGGAGCGTTTCTCAATTAAATAAACAATAGAAAATGTGTAAATACAAATGCTTGTGTAAATAACTGAAGAGATGGAGTGCGAGAATCTAAAAAGGAAAATCATTTTCCATTTAAATAAACATGAAAGGCAAACATGAAAGCAGAACACATAATATGATAAACCGACCAGAAGGGAGGCTAGGCATCACTTAAATGTCACATACTGAGTAGGCCATCGTGAAGGTGTGAAAAATATCCAGTTCTTTGTTATCGTTGTTCGCGGGGAATTAATCACAATCATTTAACCCAATTGTCAATTGGGCGAACGCAAAGTGGTACAAATTAGAAATACTATGAAATAATTGGCACTTAACTTTATTCTCTTGTCAGTGTTTCGTTACTTTTCCTAACCATTAATAAATTTTTGATTAATGAATTTTATCTGAGTCATGCCAAAGTTCATCCAAAAATTTCTAAACTTTGAAGCATTTATTCGATTTTCGATTTTGGTAAAGAAGAATTACATGTCGCTCAATAAGTGCGTGGGATGCCACGAAATAAAGTGATAAGACAACAGACGTCAGTTGTACCAAATTTCATCAAAATATCTCAAAAATTACGCAATTAAAACACGGACATACGGATGGACAAGGTTAGATCAATTCTGATTTCATCGATATAATAAAAGGGTATTCTTCAAGTCCTCCTGGGTGTTGTATACATATATACACACTTAATATATACTCGTGTACCGCAAGTCTGGTGGGGAACAAGAAAATCTTTCCAAATCTAATATAAAATAATCAATAAATTTATGTTTAAAGTTCAAAAGTGATTCAAAGTCACTGTTTGATAAGATTAGGGTTAGTTAAGTAGCCTTTAAAATTAATTCAAAATTTAAAATGAGTGAACTAAAAATTCTATTGATACTGCACTAGCCTAGTACTGTTTCATTTACTATAATGGGTTTTACGGATGTTTTGATCTTTTCATAATGGATGTATTCATTTTTCTGGGTTGTAGTCTACTTTCCTAACGTTTACGTTTAAAAGAACCGAAAAAGTAAACGTATAGAAGTCAATCTTACCTACAATACACATAAATATATTCACATTAGACATATTTAAGCAGCACTAGTGCTGCTGACCAATTAATTAATTAGCAACTTTTCGGCTTTTCCAAAGCCGGAGGACAACGGTACACTACTATCACAAATTGCTAGATTAACCTAAAATTCTCAGCCAATTCAAATAGATTTGTCTGTCCATGCGTTTCTCACACTTGTGAAAGCTCCTTTAGAAAGCTAAAGCCGAATGCAATAACCATTTAGTCGTAAACAACGAAAAGGTCCCTATTCTCTTATAATACTTAGTAAACTTTTATCTAAAACATTATGCAAGGATTTGCTGAGACCATTAAAGTCTCCAGTATGAGTGTTGACATATAACCTTATTTTGGCGGTACAATCGATCGATCAGTAGTCAGCTGAGAAAACCATGCGTTTTCTAGGCATCTAGCTGTGGTAAGTTTACATCAAATTTGGTATTCCGCAGCAACAGTTGCAATATAAATCTTCGCAGTCAGTTCTCTTTCAAAAGAAACAAAAAATACCTATTATGGTGTTAACAATACGCCCCTCTATTCTGCCCTTAATTTAGATCTCCCATAAAAAACACTATAGTCTTTATAATAAGGCTTAACTCAGACCAAGACGGATTTCTGCTTGACTTGGCACGTAATCATAATCTTTTTCCTATCACTATTGAGGAAGTTTTTATTTGCTTAAAGCTTTATTCGAACTGCCTAGAGCTCTGGGAAAGCATTAAGACATACGAACGCCCCAGTTGCCAAATGGATTGACTTTGTCAAATCAAGCCTTGGCACCGTGTGCTTAGCAGCGAAAGAAAATCATTTTCACATGTGCTCCTTACCGTATCGATATCTGCCACTAGTTACATGTAAGAACCATGGGAATAGTCGGATGTACCTAGAGGATGCATAGATAATATTACAGCCCAATGCCAACAACCCTAAGACATTATAATCCGAACTATTAAGTCACGAGGGTATCCGTAGGTCGCATGAGCCTTGAAAATGCGTGCAGAAAGGTAGCGTGGGAGCGAAAGAGACCGTAATTGCTGCATACGCTCCTTAAGGGCGAAAAATGCCACCCACTAAACAATAAAATAATATAATTATTATTGTTATTAATTTCGCCAGAGAAATAAATTCTAAGATTAAGCTCTTAAAGCACTAGCATCTAAGGCTATTGGCTTTTATTAAAAACTCTACCGCACATGAGATTCGAACTCACGACCATTGAGTTGCTAGCCGAGATTCCTCGTCTTCGGCCATCTAAGCGCATAAATAATAAGATAACTAGAGATGTTAGATAGGCCTCGCCTTACCCAGTGTTGAATGTTCAGACTACACACAATCTCTCACTTTTGGTATAAAAATCATACACAAATTCTCATACCTTATTATTTGGCCCCTTTAAGTGACGCAGGATTGTTTTGCAAATTGTGGAATTCAAGTTAACGTTCGCATACGACTCGCAAACCAACAGGTTTCCTGGCAGGTGCGGACGCAAATTTCAAACGTTATCTCGTATGTCTTTAATTTAATTAATAGCCTGTTGTTAAAAAAAAAACATTTTAACTAAACTTTTACCAAAATTTACGTTAGAGCATGAATTAAAGCTTCTCTGGCAAAATATTTATATTTGAACGGCCAAAAGAAATATTATCCTTTAGACTTGTTAATACTGTATTGGTACATAAATGCTTTGACATTAAAATTTTAATAAATGCATTCAATGCATTTAATGAATTTGACAAGTGAAGCATCTCTATATACAGATATAACATATTACTAAGTCTAAAAAAGTTGAGCTTAAGAATTTTAATCATTCTAAATATCATTGCAAATAATTGAAAGGTGAAAAGGCAAACAATTAATATGTACATGTATGTAGGTAAACTTCCTAAAGGGTCAGTATTTTTTAGACTACCTGATATTTTTTTACAAACTTGCACAGGAAACTATAAGCAAAGCAATGCAAGACACAAGTCTTCATTAGCTGCTGGTTTGCTGCTACAAGATCGTATACAAATAAAGAGCAGAAAGTTCAATTAAGAATAAAAATTGACGATAACATCGGTATAGAGCGGAGAAGAAAGAAAATAAAATAAAAATAAAATAAAAATATAATTCATATACAATAGAAGTGAAATGTATATGTGTATAAACATTCAAAACATATTAACAAATTCGTTTGTATAGGAATGAATAATTGAATTAAAAATGTGTTTTACAGAAAAAAAAAAAAAAAACACAAAAAAACGATGGGCAATAAAATCTACGCAACCGTTATACGGAAAGATGATAAGTAAAAAAAAAAAATAAATAAAAAAGATGATAAGCATTGAAATATTTTCTATGAATACAATGTTTACAAGACTTTATAAATTTTGCTGATTAATTGATTAAAAAAAGCTTCTTTACTTTTTTTCTTATTCAAAAATATCTCCACTTTAGGTGTATGTTTGAGTTATCTTGTAACGATCATCAATGTAATTAATTTTAATCGTATTTTGTCTGCAACAAATTCGCATATATATATATATATATATATATATATATATCATTACTGTGAAAATATATATGATGACGTTAAACCAGAGTCCATGTATGAATCACTTAATCAATACCAACGCAAAAAATAAAAAAAAAATAAAAACAAATTTCACTCTATACCCCGACCCAGTTACGTGTGTGCATATTAATCACCAGCAGTTAATACATTTTTCATAAGATATTTTTTTTTTTTTTGCTTATTTTACTCACTTACCGCATCCAAGTATCAGGAAATCCAAAAGAAGGCGACAGCATACTTTACGTGTCCCATATAATTCCATTTCACGTTTTTCAGCTTCAACAGCTACTGCCGTCACTGTCGTTGTATGACCGACAACGAAATTATTTAATTTATTATCAATTTTACTATTATTGTTGTGATAATTGCTTAGCGCATATTTGGCAGCCCTTGTAGCTGTCGATGATGACGATGATGATGATGTTGATGATGATGATGATGATGATGATGATGATGATGATGCTGTCGTTGTTGTTGTGATAACACTTGTATTACCACCAATTATGTTACCGTTGCCATTGACTATAGAACCGTTTGCGGTATTGCGTAAACCGTTGTTATTATTGTTATTGGCATGCGTTTTAATGTTAACAGTACGAGCATCACCACCCACGCACAACTCACTATTTAAAGTCGGCGAAGATGGCTCACTGCAACTGCTTTGATTTTCAAGTCTTTGCAGCGGTGTCGTATCAAACACTACAGTCGATCGTAAACTATTCATTTTTGTCGAGTCTTAACGCGAAAACTGCTCTTTTCAATGTTGATTAATTCTTTTACACGAACACACAAACACACAAACCCGCACACACACGCACATCACATCACATCAATCTACATTTCTATATACGAAGCCTTACATATGTAGGTATGTTTTAATGTTTTTTTTGTGTATGTTTCCCTGCATGTATGCTTTTATATGTGTATGTGTGTGTGCATAGATGTTCTGGGTGCGTTTTCTTATCGCTTAATGATCGTGTGCACTCGTCGTCTCTAAGAGATACTTACAGAGACTTATTGCAATTTTATGGCGCTTTTAACTTTGAGTCGTTGTTTAATGTTTTAAGAGGCGTGCTATGTTTATTATTATTATTGTTGCTCTTAAATAATTTTCGTAATGATAATTACAATTAGCCATAAAAGTTGTTTAATGTCATAAAATGATTTGGAGATTTTTTCAAAATTATATATTTTTACATAAAAATTAGATAATTTTCCAAAAAAAAAAAAATAAATAAATAAATAAATAAAAAAATAAATTATTTTATTATCAAAAAAATTGCAAAATTTTTCTGAATGAAATAAAAAAAAAAAAATGGCAACACTTTCTAGCAACTGTCGGCGTATTAGTTAACCGATCATCATCATTTTTGGACTTTCGCTTTTAAGAGACATAATAAATTTTTTGATAAGTGCAATAAGCTGTTTTAGTAAGCCATTGTGGGAATACGCACGGCACTGTTAACACGAAACTGTAATTTTATCAAAATTATCAGGTGCTTGCATGTATTTTGATCAGCGACATCAATTAGTGAAAATAATAAAGTAGTGCAAAGTATCAATGTATCAATGTACGCAACGGTTAAATTGGATGGCTTTGATCTTTCCCAACATAAAATAACGGTTTTCCATATACTATAACTGAATTATTCGAGACGTTAATCATGCAACGCTCAAAATTACATTTCGACACTCATTTGGTTGCTTGCTTTGAAGAATTTTGCTGCCGAAGCTTGTCAAACACTTTTACAGGCCTATGGGGACGCTGTAAATAGCTGTCAAGGATAAACTGTTCTGCGGCAATCAGCTCCTTCTGATACCAAATTACCAGATCGAAGCGGCATGGCTTGGCTGGCACGCTCTTTCGAAATGCTGAAGAAGCGCAGAAACGCAGACCTGCCAACTCAATATCGTTTTTTTTTCGCCAGAATAGCGGAATGTTGCCGGAATGAAGGTATTGTGTGGCCATGGCTGAGTTTTTTAATATTTGTACGGATGCTGTAGGATCATCTATCGAACGCATGTGGAAATGTTTTGCGCTACATCTCTTATAGCTGATAACTAAAAAGCGAAAACTCTGCTTTATTTTTGTTTCTATAAACGTAGGCTTTCTCAATTTATATTACAGTGTAGATATGTACTTTCACGCCCACTCTCAATATCAATCTGCGCGTACGAAGAGAACAATTATTTTCGCAAATTTGCAGCTGATAAGTTAATTTTTGCGACCGCAAGTAGGTTAACGATAGGCAGACATATAGACGGACAAAAATGACTAAATCGATTCCATGTTTGGCGCTAATCAAGAATATCTATATTTTTTTGTAAAGTTTCTGACGGTTACTTACAAGTGTTGCATATGCTTTAGACAAAGTAAATATTCCTCTAACCTCTTGGTGACTCAATTGCTTACCAACAGATTTTCAAAGATCGTTAAAAGCAAATTTTTGAAATGTATATTGATTGCCGCACAATTCTTGTATGGACTATTGTAACGGCTCCTCATAATTCTTTGTACCACATTTGAGATCGAATATCTGCCATGGGTAGTACCGTTGCAGTTTGTTGCATATTGCGAGCGTGGACTGTCCAAGACAAGAAGTTCGGTTAAATTATTGACCGATTTCGAATTTTCCTCTGGATAAAAATATTTATTTTTAAGGGAAAATTAACTGTACGATTAACTGTATAATAACTTGGGGAAAAAGTATTGAGAGATTTGTTGTCCATTTTGTTTGCATTAAATCTTTTTATACAAACGGGATTGGACGTAATGGTCATTATCATTTACGATACTTTGCCATATTTTGGGAACCAAAATAAAGTTTTATCTGCGACTTTACCACAAAGCAATGGAAAAGCAAATTTGTTTCCTATAAACAATTTTTGTATATGAGTACACATTACAAAATCCTGCAGATATTAAAAAAAAAAAACAATTATATGAATAATTGCAATATTTGTAATTTATAAGTGTTCCGTCTCAATTTCGTTTACATTTCAAAAAATAATCAAAAGCAAAAATCTGCGCATACTCCTGATGATTACGAAGATCGAACATAATCTCAGCTTCAAATGTTTTCTACTTTTACTGCAGATTTATGCAAAAACGGAATGTTTATCACAAACAGTGGACCACAAAAAAAAGAAAAAAGTATATTTTTAAAAATTTATTGTAAGGGGAAGAAAAAACACTCTATCATCGAACATAGCAAGTCCGATCCATGCAGTTCTTTGTTATTCTAACAATCAGAATGGGAAAACTTCTCATTCTTGAGAACACCTTTCTCTGAATAAAGAGTTCAATATTATTACATAAAATAGTGTTATGGGCTTAGCAAACTTCCTCTTTCATTCTAGCTAAGCAATTTTTATAGCCTACACAACTTGTGATGCAGGGGCATATTAAATTTGTGCGGATTTATGCACCACCCAGAAGTACTTGAGTTAGATCCACTTTTTATTATATCAATCGATTCAGAATCACTTACTGAAACGATCTAGGCTTTTCTGTCCGTCTGTCCGTCTCCTTTTCTTTCTTATGTACAGAAAGGGGTTAGTGAGATAGGTCAATGAATTTTGATATACCGACATGTTACCGACAATCGGACCACTTTTCAGCTACTTCCCATCTAATACTTTATGGCTTTTAATTATATCGATCGATTGAGAGTCGCCTTGAAATAAATTGTTATAAGTTTGCCTGTCTTTCTGCCCGTTCGTCTTTCCGTCCGTTTGTCTGTGAGTCTTGCTTTCTTTTATTCAGCCTACAGGTCGCAGCTCTTCAGTTATATTGATCAAATTTAATGCATCAACGTGGTTGTGGTCCAAAGATGAAATATATTGAAAACAGTTCAGATCGATATTAAATGAAAAGTCTTTATATGAACAAGAGTATTAAGCGAAGCTGAAGAGAGTATTTAATGGCGGTGGACTCTTTATAATCTTTTACTTGTTTTAAATAAAATATTTAATGTAAGATTATTAAAAGTAAATTTCTACGATTTTTCCAAATAAAATTTCTGAATAGTTTTTCTAAAATGTATTGAAAAAAAAAAAAAGGTTTAAAAAATTATTGATAAACATTCGAGTTTTATTACAAGTTTTTCATAATACTCAACACATAAAAAATTTATAATAGTTTTTAAAAAGTTCTTACAATAAATAAGAATTTTTTCCAAGTTCTTCCTTACTTCCTTCAGTAGCACTGACTTTAAAGTAAGTAGCACTGATATAAAATATATTTTTATTACACTAAAACAATCTCATAGAGTTAGTTATCAGTTATCAGTTCTAATCGTTAATAATTTTTAATAAATACACAAGCTTTCAACACAAGCTTTGCAACAAGATTACGAACAGCCCAAGTGTTACTTATTGTTAACAAATCGTTCGTATTCCCATCTAACAATTTTACAGCATTTTATTACCGCTTCTGCCTTAAAGCACATTAAAATATATAAATATATTTTATTGTTGCTTTTTGCATCATTTACACAATTTACAACACATAATACGCATATACGCATCTATACTAAGATATATTATGTTTACGAACTCTCTTAAAACAAACCATAAATATTTATGCACTTCAGGGATCGTAAAGGTAAATAAACAAAAATCGCATTTCCGCATTTCACACGCACATCTACATATATATATATATATGTACACAGGGTGAACTTTATTGTTGATGGAATAAACGCGAGCAATAAAATAACAAACAAACGAACAATTATAACAAATTATCTTTAAAGTATTATTGTGTAAATAATATAAAGAAATTTGACGTCGAAGGCTAATTTAAAAGAGAAATTTATTCTTTGCTTTGTTTATTCGCTTGCGATGGTAAACACGATCTAAAGCAATAAACATTTTAACATGACTTGTGATCGAGAACAAATGATTGCCCTTTAAAATGAAAGAAAAAAACAGAAACAAAAATTGCATAAGAAAAATTTCTTTTTTGCTCTGGAAAGAAATCGAATAAAAAGCTCACAGTGTAAAAGCAAGATTTTCTTAAGCGGCCTTGCGTCGTCCCTAGTGCGAAGGACAATCAGCTCAAGATCGAGCCTCAGCAAACACTGTTTGGAAGGCGGAAATTGTTAAGAGAAATACATTTCAATTTTCATCTCTCTTTCGAGCTTTAGTTTTTTAGTTGCTACGTATGTATGGCAACCACTTTCACTTTTGATCCACGAAACTAAGTATTAAGATTGCATTCGCCACGTTTTAGCACTTTATTCCTTTTTGGCAGTGTTGAGAATTTTTAAACAGTAAACGGACAGAGGGACGGACATGACTAAAACAATTCAGAATTTCATTTCATGAAGAACATAAAAATCCTACAGCTTTTTTTTTTGCATCAAACTGATAAAAAATAAATTTTATTATATTTAAATAATTTTCAAAAACTTTTTTTTCGATTTATTTTATTTTTATTATTTTTTACTTTGTTTTCTTTAATTATTTCTTGCTACTGCTTTATCCTTAGCTTAGACGTTTTAATGCTTGTTTTTTTTTTTTAGTTTAATGAATTTATGTTAGTTTAAAATCATTCGCGTGCGTTTATCTTTTCGCGAGGATTATTAAACGATCAGACTTCCATGTGTATCTCCCACCAATGTAACTCAACAACTGCAACAAAACAACTGTTTTCTGGACAGATCGGCAATTGAAACTTTCTGGTTAATTTCATTTCTCTGTGCAACACAAGTCCATATAAACATCACCAATGTAGCAATAATTGTTGCAATGTTGAGTATGAAACATGTTGATACGAAATGTTGCCAAAACATTTATCATTTTTTTTTTCTTCGGATAAGCACACACACACACACACAAACAAACACATACGCACACATCATACATACATAGATCAATTTATGCAAACATGCACACATGTACACACGATGATAGGAAGGCAGAATGCAAGGACATGTATGAACTTGTGTTTAGTAACAAGGCAACTTGTCCTCCTCTCTTCTAGTCGCCTCTCCTATTTACTTTCACTCTTGCCCCTGATATTACGTTAGAAGGAAGTTTTCTTACATATCAGAATGTTTTTCATTGCTTGCTTGTGCTTACTATAGCATGCTTTTCCTACAAAATAAACTTAGACTCTAAACCAATCTAAAAATGTTGTCTTTACATAGAAGAAGTAGATCGAAAAATCACTTCATTGGAAAATCTTTATACAATGACTTTATAAATTATTGAAAAGGAAAAAGCACTCACGCATGTTATTTATACTTTCTTCAGTTTAAGAAAGACACTCTCAACGAATTTTTTATGTAAAAAAAAATTTGAATTTTGTAAATTTTTACTTAAGTGTTAGAATTAAGAATTAAGAATTTTGACCAGGCAATCTCTTTTTCCCTGACAAGCTTGGAAGTATAAATCTAAAGCATAACCCATACGCATGGCCTTCACGAGGACAACAATTCCCTTAAATTTCAATGCAATCCATTCGCTATGCTTTGCTTCTTATACCGCCTATCCTTCCGTCAGCTTTTATACTCAGCTGGTTCGCCTATCCTTCCGTCAGTCTTTACACTCAACCGGTTCAGTTGCCATCTCCGAGTTTTTATTGGTCTATATAATTGTCAAAGAGGTTGTCATGTCTTCACACATCTTTCTGTCTACAAATTTTATTTGTCTGCCGAATTTTTCGTCCTTTGTACGAGTGTTCTCTTAACTCATTAGCTTGTCCGTTTCTTCATCCTTTTTGCTCGTTGATCAGCTTTGTGTCTGTCAAACATTAAGTAGCCTAAGATCTATAGATACGTTCATGATATATGACCTCAAATGCCGAGAAATTCTTATTCTATCTATTATTTTACTTTTAGCATACATAACTTACCGACCTTTTAGATAGAGGTAATTAATGCCGGCCCATTACTGATGGAATGACCCTAATAAACCTAAGTAGCAATGGGACAATTTCTCGTGAACGTGAAAGGTATAATGGGAAAGTTTTTCATCAACCATCCCTTCATGGTTAGAGAAATATTGAGGCTAAATAGGTGAGGGACTAGAGAGCTTGACAACACGGATACGATATTTGATTTGGATAAAGGAGAAATATTAAAGTGACATGAGCCGCACAAGCGGACAAATAGAATGAATAATTATTAGAGAAATGTTATGAGGCATTACTACATCACTTTACAGAAGGGAACCAGACCACAACTTTTTTTTAACATATTCAGGAAAGATATAACAGAAATAGTTGTGCGAAAGCTGAGAGTCATTACTCCTCATTTAATATTTATTATATCCCACAGGCGGACACAATTTACACATGTCCGAGCTTCATAAAGATTTCAAGTTTTTTAAGGAAGCCCCAGGTGAACTCCTCTTTTCTAAGAAAAAATAAATATAAAAACTTCGACATCAACGCAACGTAGTTTTCTTATTGTGAAGCGAACATATCAACCTCCAAACGGAAATGCAGAAACACATGCGAACCATACGTTCCTCCCTCTGATATGCAATATTTCGTTGCATCACGCGCAGCTAAATTGTTAAGAGTATTTAAAGTAGACTTTAAATGCGCAAAATATCTTGGAATTTATACAAATTGATTGATTCTAACACTAGTATGCGAAGCAAACTTAAATTTCCGCGAACTTTCTGCTAAACGAACGCCATTGTTGCTTTCCTTGACTGGAAATATGGGTTAATGTAGTAAAAATGCTTTTGTTTGCATTTATTTCTGGAGTTTAAACGTAAAAGTTTTTTCATGTCAGTTTAGGGCATAATGGGCGAGTTATTCAATTTTCAAAGTGTCTAAGTGCATCTAAAATGAAGAAAAATCTGAAATATATAAATCTGCTAATAAGTCCTATTAATGCCATAAACCAGTAAGAGGATGTCCCTTATCCTTGTAATACTATGACGGTCACCAAGAAGAGAGGAAAGAGAAAAAAGTAGCGAGGTAGTGGTTGCAGCCTGTTGAGGGTATACACAATCACATAAGGCTGGCTGAGCATTCACTATAGCAACGACGAAAGAAAACTCTACCGCACTTGAGATTTGAATCCGCGAATCAGCGATTTGTTAGTCGCGGTCCCTACCTACTCAGCTACCCAGGCATATATATACACACATATGTATAATAAACTTATCATGATATTATTATTATGGCAGATCTTTATATGTGTTTCGTTTATATTAGGTTAAGTGGTTATACGTAATATTTCCTTAAGTCTCAGCATGGTATGGCATCGTATTGCAGTAAGGCATTAGAAATCTTCGCGTTTACCTAGTTTTCTGCGATTAAGATATCGGTGATATATATATTAAACGTCGATATTCCTCACGTCAAGATTGCGACATATTGCTAACTGGTTCATGAAAATGCCAATCAAACAATGAGGACTATTTTCGCGCTACGCTTTCTAAATGGACCTTCGTAATGTTCGCATTAAGCTTTAGATCAATAATTGCTATAAATTATAGTTTACAGTTTGGCAACTATTTCGAACAGGCCTACAGATCGATCTCATTCGTTTCTAAGTTTAGTTTGGGGCCTTAAAGTAAATATTGGGCTTATCCATATTGGAAGGCATATGCATGCAACTAAAATATGGTCGATTGGATTCAAAAACTTACGCTAATTAAGGAAACATATATTAAGGGCTTTTACATTTTTGTACTACAAAGGGAACCTCTGTGGTCTAGTGACCACAAACGGAAAGTCTAATCTAGTATATATTCCTTCATCCTTTGATATTTTTTGGTATATAATGTTCTAGAAGATTTGGTCTAATTGGAGCAAAACAACCATCATTTACCTTTGAAACTTCTACTGTCCACTTAATTTGGGTTAAAAACCTTGAAATTTAATTTAAATTTTCCTCAAAAGGATTTTTTACATATACATACAAATATATGTATCACATCCAATAAGGATACGATAAAAAAATATTGTGAAGATTCCAATAAGATTATATAGTGACACTTTCTTTTCTTCTTTTTGGGATCATGTTGTTGCATTCGACTTGAGTTCTTCACTCAAATTTTCTGCTTCCAAATCATCAAAGAAAGCACAAGAAAGAAATCGCACAAGAACATCCCTTGGTGGAGGGAACAAGGAAGCGATGAAACTACACTCACATCACCGCCCACGAAACAGTTACCTACATAAAATAGCATTTGCTTTACTGATCTGTCCGAGTATTTCACTTAGACTTTAACTACCATCGTTTTACTTTAATCGCGCGGCAATCGCGTAAGGAGTGTCCCATACGTCAAACAAAAAATTAAATCGCTTATCTTCGTCACAAACAGTGTTTTAACATTGTTGGATGGGCTCAGCTTTAAGAGATAGAAGTAAAAAATTTTAATCGAAAATATTTATTTGAGTTAAATCGGCTTTCAATTTCATGCTGAATAACAGAAATTATTTTTTATAAATCTTTATAGGTTAACTCTAGGTAAATCTAGGTTAACTCTGGCTTAACTCTAGGTAAATCTAGGTTAACTCTAGGTAACTCTAGGTTAACTCTGGCTTAACTCTAGTTAAATCTAGGTTAACTCTAGGTAACTCTAGGTTAACTCTGGCTTAACTCTAGTTAAATCTAGGTTAATTCTACGTTAATTCTAGGTTAACTCTAGGTTAACCTTAGATAACCCTTGATTAATGATAATTACGCTCAAAGATGTAAAATTTTTCCAATTTTCTATAAAAACTTTTTCAAACTTTGATTGCCTTGTTTATAATTTTTTTTCATTGAAGCTACTGTAAATACTTGAATAATTGTCATAAAAATGATGATAAATCCTAGATGGTCTTTGAAAAATTTTTCTATTACTTTTCCCTTTAATATTAAAAAAATTTTAATTGCTTTAATATTTCTGGCGTGTTGCTGTTTAACCCGGTTAATGCTATTTTATTATTCTCTTTTTTTTTGCAATTTGTAAAAAAAAATTTTATTATCCTTTAATATGTTATTACTAATATTTTTTCAAGTCTGTATTTTTATATATTACCCATAAGCACTTATATATAAAGTGTTGGAAAGTTGAAGGCAAAGAGAAAGAATTGATTTGTTTTGAAAGCCTTTAACGGCATTTGTTGTTATAATCTGTGTGAATTAGTATGAAATTGAACAACTGCTGTCTTTGCTGTCTTTGACTATCAGCAGTAGCAATGAAACAGTATGACAAATGACATGAGCTACATAAAAATTTTATGACATAGAATAAGTAAGAAATTTATATAAGCTCTAGATGAATATTCGATGCGAATACATAAAAAATTGAAAACTTATCGATATAATTTTATGTCATTAGGGTTTATAAGTTACAGCTTTTCCG